AAAGAGGCTGCAGAGGCTTCTTTTGATGCCCTCAGGCTGAGTGGCAGGCTGGGTTTTATTTAGGATAGAATAGAATACTTTATTGGCCAAGTGTGATTGGACACACAAGGAATTTGTCTTTGATGCATAAACTCTCAGGGTACATACAAACAACAAAGTAAAGTGATCATATAACAATAGGCGAAGGTGGTAGAAAAGATGAGAAGGTTAATGGTCTTAGATATAAGACAGTACTGTGGAATTAAATGTTCAGCAGAGTGATGGCACGGAGGAAAAAACTGTCTTTGTGCCTAGTTATTTTGGCATGCAATGCCCTGTAGTGGTGTCCTGAGGGGAGGGGTTGAAACAGTTTATGAGGATGTGAGAGGTCTGCAGATATTTTCTCAGCCCTCCCCCTAATCCGTGCAATTGTTCTTTTTGCAGTCCAGACTATCTGTTTGAATCAGTATCTGTCTTGTTTGGTTGCTGTACCAAAAGATACTAGCTAGCTAGGTAGATATTGATAGATATCAATAGATAGATAGGTAGATAGATAGGTAGATAGATAACAGACAGGCAGGCAGTACAAGACATGGTGTCCATTATCCTTCAAATATATCATAAATCAATCAATCTAATTATATCTATATCTATCTATCTATCTATCTATCTATCTATCTATCTATCTATCTATCTATCTACCTATGGTTTTTTAAATTCATTCTATCTATCTATCTATCTATCTATCTATCTATCTATCTATCTATCTTTTAGCATTCATTCCAGTAAAAGACATTTGGAAGTTGGAAGTTACTGTCCTGCAAAGCAAAGCATCAGGTTTTATTTCCAATATTGCTCCTGGGCCCCCATGAATGAAGAGGTCTTGTTAGAAGAGAAAAAAATGATAGAGACCAAAGGAAATTAATTTAATAAAGACAATAAAAAAACCAGATAAGAACATTAAAAAATGTGAATTAAAAAGAAAAAAATTGAGGGCATATGTGTTTTTGTTTTTTGTCTTTTGTCAGAGGAAAAAAAATCCCCTTGGTATTTGTATTTTAGTCTTTTGAATAAAATTATATACACATGATAGATAGATAGATAGATAGATAGATAGATAGATAGATAGATAGAT